TGGGTTGGATGGTTGGCAGTCGGAGGCCGGGGCAAATCCGCAGACGAGCCTCGTGTCCGAGACATTATTCCTGACTTCGTTGCGATCGCCCCGGCGTCACGGCCGTCGGGCCACCCTTTTTATTATTCCCTGAGATAAACACATTTGCGCGTCCTTACCCTGCCGTGCGGGATCAACGCTGACTGTGCGCCGGCTCGTGGCCCGTCCATTTTCTGGACGAAAGAATTTCGCCGTCGACTTCACCCCCTCTATTTAACGCGCAATTAACCGACGCGAGCCTCTGTTTATGTCTTACACGCCGTACAGAATGTCTCATAATTGCCGCAAATCCGCGGATGATTTCCTTCGCCTCGGCGGAAGTCCACCTCGAATGAATAGCTTTCGAAATTATCAATATCCGCGGACTTTCCGGCGCTAATTTCTACTTGTTCCCGTTCGCACGATTCCAAAACTCTCGGTAAGCTATTATCGCGATAATTTCTGTCGCTTAACTTAACTAATTGCTGCGTTTCACGATATTTTTATATTTTTCTCTCATTAACGAAATGCAGAAATCGTGTTTCTAAATTTGTTTTAAAGAGCGCGGAAGACGCTGTTCTGACGAGGTACGAAAGAATTGCGCGCGATTGCGTTGAAATAATTATAATCAGCGGATCCAGAATTTTACGGAACGCGCGCGCGCACACGGGCAGCGAGGATATTTACATGCATGGTACATATAGGGTAGTACATGGAGGGTGGGCAGCGGTGAGGTTGAACCGAGAGGATATTGGGGTTAGGCCATTCATTAGATTATGGGAATTCGGTGGTACCCGTTGAAGGGAAAGGAGAGGAAGGTCTGGTGCTCGGCTGCGCGATCAAGGACCACCGTGCATTAGCCTGCGTCATAAGGCGCGGCGAAAGGATTGAAGTTGAATGCAAAAAAAAGTGAAGTTTTATTTTCTTTGAAACTTTTTATTTTTGCTCGTCGTTGTCATGAACTCAATAGAGCATCACTTACATTTACTAAACACAGGTTATTTATATTATGCTTAAAATATATGTGAAGGAATTAATGAATTTACGTTAAACCGTGTCTTTCTATTATTTATTATGCATTGATTATTAAATTTTCACAGTTTTAGAGAAATAATTCGCGCGCTCTTTTTCTGTTACAGAGCCGTCCCTTACGAGGCGGGAATATCCCCGCCAAATCATGAACAAGGTAAGTTCCAGTATTTCGAGTAAATTTACTTACTTATAGTTTATAATTTTCCCTTTCTCTTTTAATACAAAATTATTATGTTTATAATACAAACAATATTAATATCGGAAACGTACGATACGTACAATTGATATTCATCAGTAATCTTTCAAATAATTAAGATTTTAAATCTTTAGAGAAAAAAAAATTTTGCAATTTATTTTATCTCGCGTGATAGATGGTTGCTTTAGAAACGCCCTGTATATTTCAATAATTAGATCAAAGAATATAGCGTCATAAGCGAGGATTTGCATCTTTCATCGAAAAGCCTAGCAAGTCAGTTACTAGGGAAGATCGATCTAACACCTTTAATTGGTTTCGTGCTCTGCGACTCGCATTGCGTGTTCGTATCTTTAGTTACCAACGACTGCGCTTACCAATCAATGAAATCTTGCACAAGCACTTTATGCAATTGCATATTGAGAATCGCACACAGTACAGAAATATGCAGGTCTCACTTTTCTTACAAATTAACAATGTGAATAATAGTAATTACCGTTTGAACTCGGGTGTTAAACATTTGCGGGACAATCGGTTTTTATAAATTCCCAATCTTGACATATATTTTTTTTATATACACCACTTTTATTTATCTTGAATAATTAAACTGGTAAGTAATAGCAATTACGTTGATATACATATATTAATAACCAAAATATCTTCTTCATTCTCGACGATGTGGCGCAACCGTTATAAAATCTCTCGAAAATACTTGTCACGTCCAAAGAGTCGTTTACATCGACGTGTTAGTTACATGTACCCACTAACAATGTATATGTATAACTTGAGCCTCATTTGTAGGTCCTTTATGCGCCGTCTGCCTTTCCTCATTATGCATTGCACATGAGAAAACTTGCTTAGGAATCTCTCTCCACTCTCTCTCTCTCTCTCTCTCTCTTACTCCTCCCCCCTCTCTCTCTCTCTCTCTCACTCTTGAATCTCTTTCTATTTCACTCTGTCGTGCCGGTTTCCCTCTGCCACCTTCCTTCTAAGGGTGCCGAGCTACCATCTACTACCTTCTTCCTCCCTCGCTCTCCGCACATCGTTGCCCGCCTCGTACTTCGGCTTCTTTATAAACTTTTAATGACGGCAAAGCCTAATCGAGAGAACGAGCGAGCATGCCTGGCCTCGCGAAACTACCCGGGAAAATCGACGTTGGATCTCGATGTTCGATACTCAACCAGCCAACCGTCACTTCGGAAAGACGTTCGCGCAGTCTACGATAATGGCTGTGCGTCACTCGCTAATTATTATTGATTAATTTATTAATATTGCAAGCGAAACGTCGGTGTCATATCTCTGTGGTCGAAATAATTAGTGGCATTAGTGCTCGTTGTTTTGCAATACTACGTGTTGCGCACGCGAAAGAGTTGAAAAATAAATCTCAACAAGTAAAATAATTAAATCTATAAATACAATATGCAAAGAACCATATTTATGTCTAATTAAATATACATAGCACTTTTTACAAGCATCAATTTAATTGCAACGAATTCAGGGAGAATATTTTATGTAAAAAGGTTATTGTATTATTATTTTATACGAAGGAGATTGATAATTATGTCTGCATTTTTTTTTTTTTTCCTACTCCTCGCCACTCCCTGTTGTGAAGTATTAATATATTGATGCCCACTCGATAATCGATAGCCACGTTACAATGTCGCATAAAATAAGCCGTGATAAGTACGAGCAGGAAGTTGAAGTTCGAGCTTGAGCTCGAGCGCAGAGGTGCTTTCGATTTGCAACAAATCATTCAGCGTTTACACCCCGCTGCCCGTCCAGTTGAATTAAACTTCCACCGAGAACTTCGTTCTCCGCTTACCTCGGCTCGAAGGCATACATATACACCGGGTATAGCTAACGGTCTGTACCTGCGAACTGCTTCTCGAAGTTCGCTTCCAGTGCCTTCGTGCGAAAGCAGTTAGCTGTTTGACGTAGCGCTATGCTCGTTACGGACATGTCGGAATTAACATGCCTACGCACGATGTATGCGAGTCGAACAAATTGAAGCGATATGCATAGTACTTATTCGGAAGTTTGATATTTTTACGTCTTTAAAATAATATTTAATGTTGATGATACCTAATTATACGCAAATACTCTTTACGCTAATAGATTAGAGAATATTAACTTTGCAGAATTACAATTTGAAATTTACATTTCTGAATGTATATTAATATTTAATTTAATGCGAAGGTGAGCTTTTAGCAAAATTATTTATTTTGATATACTAATCGAATTTCTTTGCGCACTATCGTTCGGTCGTAAATTTCACAGTATACGCTATAGCTTTCGCTTACCCTCAGAAAAGAGAATGGCGACATAAACCCGTAACGTTCGACTCCTAAAGCACGATTAAACTAATCCTTACTTATTTCTTTCATGTTCCTCAGTGCGTACGTCCTGAAGCTATTAGATATATCTTCTGATCGTTGCTTACAGTTTCTCTTTGGGGATAGTCCTGCGGAAATTTGGCAAGTCCGAAGCTTTTTTTTCTGGAATCATTGCTTTCTGTACTTTACGCTTATTATAATGTTATTAAAATCACTGAAATATATCACGTACATTTTTTTAATAATAAATTTTCAATATGCTTATATGAAAGAAAAAATTATGAAAACTGAGAGAGAAAATGTAATTTGCTTTCTATATTATCAAAATTTGTTGAAAAAAGTTATAACTAGAAATTATTTATAATTCGACGGATTGATATTTTTAACGTTGAATAATACATTGTAATTAATTTCGGTACTGAAATATGATTCCACGAAAATCCCTGACAAATCTGACTCTTGAATTTCACTGTCGCGGGCGGTATTCACGAAATAAACGTAGCACGGGTTCTTTTCCGGCGATGTTTAAAGGCGTACCGGTGTCGGAGTGTATACCGTGCGCCATTTAGTGGCGGCACTCTTTCATAAAGGACCTTAATAAAAATCCCAATCTAAACAAGCTTAATTTACGTCCGCCACATAATTACCTACCCCGAGGCATGACTTCCCTCGCTTACCCTCTCTGCCGCTCCTCGCGAACCACCTCCGGCTCACTCCGCAGAAGGAATGGGTGGAGGGATGGGAACGAAGGAAGCGTGCACATCGAGAACGCACTGAAAAATCTAAGAGGCTTAAAGCATTAACAGGGTTATATAACATTCATTACCAGCGGGTCAGCCTTTGTGAAATTTCCCTTGGAAGCGCCTTCACTCGGTGGACACAACCTTCTCTCCCCTTGATTTCTCTCCCTCCAGCCCACTCCCTCGCCCTCTTCTTCTCGTCGCCATCTTCTTCCCGATCCGCGCTCTCACTCTTCCGCAGCATCTAGCGTCCCTCGTCTCTGGGGGGTGCAGAATAGTCACGTGACTACGCCATCGTCCGGCGCAAGGGACGGAAAGTGGCAGAGAAAGGAGAAGAGAGGAGGGTCCACCTCTCTCTGATGAAGATGTCGCACACGCCGGGGACTCCGGCGAGATTACTCGGGTTAGAACCTGCGGACCCTGGTCAGGGCACATGCTAATTGCTTTATTTGACATCAAGAAATAATGTACTGCGCGGTACGACTGCTGTGCGGAAAACCCGCGAGGAAACCAGAGTCCTCCGTTCCCATCTCGCGCCCTTTCTCGTCGCCGCTCCTTCGACTGTTTCTATAAATTTTCCCAAATGTGTGTCCCATAAAATGGCATTTTCTCCAAAATTGTGAATCACAATTTGTTCAATATAAATATGTGCACATCACGCTCAATCGACGCATATACACATTTATTCGTTATTTCACAAATCTACATGTCACGCTAATGTCGAGCTATGTTTCTCTCTACTGTAGCGATATCTTTTATCGTTATAACTTTTTGAGTGGAATAGATTCCAAAACAGTGTCACACAAAATGCAAAATACAAAATTGGTTATAAAAAGAACTTATGTTTTCATTTTCGATGCTCGACGAAATTCAATTCATAGCGCTACGTGAAGCGACTGGTTACGTCAGGGAAGTCAACTAGAAAGCCAGACCTAATAACCCTTAGTCAAACCAATAAACATTTTTCCGGGTTACATATGATGGAATTTGTATGCCAAATCGCGTATATTCAGAAGAGAGCGGTGCGTTCCGACGCGGGGCACGCGCCTCTCTCGTAAATATGCCTTCGGTTGGCAAAGTGCTATCGCGAATGGTGGCGGGGAGGGAGAGAGAAACGGGCGCGCACGGGAGCTTAGGGTGTTAGGGTCGGTTCTGGGGTCGCCAAGGGTGCATTTCATCTTCGGAGGCGTCAGCTCGGAGACCGATCGACTATACGGCCGACGTTGGATCATCCATCTTTTATCGAATCGGACTTGATGGCCAGACCGCCGCCGCCGCCGCCGCCGCTATCGCTCGGGCTCACAACTTTTGCCTCTCCGAAGACTCCACGCGACACCTGAGCGTGTGCATCCGCATGTAAATAATGGACAGTACTGTTCCGACGCATTACATCGCGGCGGCGTGTCAAACTTTCTACTCACTTCGTTACAGACGTTGCTTTCTCATTTATTAATCGACCTTCGCGAAATAAAATATTTGCGCGAAATAAAGTCGACGCGATAAAGTAAAGTTGCGATTGGAGAAATTCGAAGTAAGACGCGATCTTACTTACAATATATTCGAACATCGCAGTACGTTTCAGTTGATATACGCGATTTAATAGTGATCAATGTTCCGTGGATCGGGTCATCCATCTCTCGTCGAATGGAAATCCGACATTCGGTGCCAGAAGTCGTTACAGTCATCTCAACTTTCGTCTCCGGTAGCGTCCATCATGTCAGGACGGGATACGCTTTCCTAACCAAACATACATTAATATGCATATATACGTAACTGGCATCCGCGAAAAAGTTGAGTTGATGATTGATGTGTATACCGTTCGTTCATAATAATTCGCTCTACTGCTAATCATCGAAATAAGCAATAAGAGCAGTCTTTAGTCTCGTTT